GGACTCAAGGCTGAAGAAAAAATCTGTCTGCCTGAAGAAAAAACAAAAATCAAGCTTATCTGAATCAGACTCCCAACGGCCTTGGAGACAGGCTGACTATCAATTTCTCCTGGGACATGAGTACCCAAGGACAAAAGCTTCATCTATCCCCCCCCCGAGAACTTTCTGTGCAAGCTAATCAGAACTGCTGGCTGGAACAACATCTTCAGAAACTGTGGCTGATCAGGAAAAACGCTCATGGACAAATCTCAACTTCTTGATGTCAAATGCAAATGTAATCATGTTTTAATTGTGCTTGCTGGTAGAGTTTTTTGATGTCTCAAATCGTGTCCTGATAGACAAGATGTGAAAGATCTTTTTTTGTAATACCACTATCTACCCTCATGTTTCTCCCCCTTTTCCTATCTAAGATTATTATCTGATAAGGATAAAATGGCCGCGCTCTCCTGTAGTTGCAGCTTCGTGCACTCCGCCCATCTTTCGGACGACTATACGTACATATTCGCGTTGTACCTTGGTGCAATTCCAGTATAGTTTATTCTGATTCTGATATTGTTACAGTATGTTTACTGTTTGAAAAGGGCCTTCTCCTACTCCGCTCCTGTTTCCTGGAATATCTTACAAAAACATCTGAAGCTCTCGACCTTGACCTCTCTAAGTGGCTTCAAGAATCTGTTGGACTCCTGGCAGGGACCAATGCAGACATGTTCCTGTTTTTATTTTTCTACATTCGCCTTAGAATCTAGATGTTTTTTGTTACTTTTCTTTTTTTTAGCCATCCTATTTGTTATACAAAAAAAAATAAAAAAAATTGTATGACTTTTTATATCTGTCTATTGTTGTTGCTGTTGTCCATTGTTTGTCCCATTCTTTGTTGAAATCAGGTTTCTCTTGTAAATGAGTCCTCGAGGCTCAATGGGATTTACCTGTCTAAATAAAGGTTGAATGAAAATGAACGCACATCAATACAAACCAAGGTAATTTAACAATATGTGGCAAAATGCAACAATCCAAAAAAAAAATTCCCAGAGTTCCCAGTAAAATCAGAATGAAAACCACCCAATTGGCAGTAAACCACCCAATCTGGCAACACTGTGAGTGATGCTCGCAAGTGAAAGAGGGTGGGCAGGACAGCGGTAACAAAAAATGTACAAACCGGATTCCAAAAAAGTTCGGACACTAAACAAATTGTGAATAAAACTGAATGCAATGATGTGGAGGTGCCAACATCTAATATTTTATTCAGAATAGAACACAAATCACAGATCAAAAGTTTAAACTGAGAGAATGTATCATTTTAAAGGGAAAAATCTGTTGTTTCCAAATTTCATGGCGTCAACAAATCCCCAAAAAGTTGGGACAAATCCATTTTTACCACTGTGTGGCATCCCCCCTTCTTCTTACAACACTCAACAGACGTCTGCGGACAGAGGAGACCAGTTTCTCAAGTCTAGAAATAGGAATGCTCTCCCATTCATGTCTAATACAGGCCTCTAACTGTTCAATCGTCTTGGGCCTTCTTTGTCGCACCTTCCTCTTTATGATGCGCCAAATGTTCTCTATAGGTGAAAGATCTGGACTGCAGGCTGGTCATTTCAGTACCCGGATCCTTCTCCTACGTAGCCATGATGTTGTGATTGCTGCAGAATGTGGTTTGGCATTATCGTGCGGAAAAATGCAGGGTCTACCCTGAAAGAGATGACGTCTAGATGGGAGCATATGTTGTTCTAGAACCTGAACATAGTTCTCTGCATTAATGGTGCCTTTCCAGACATGCAAGCTGCCCATGCCACAAGCGCTCATGCAACCCTATACCATCAGTGATGCAGGCTTCTGAACGGAGCGTTGATAACAACTTGGGCTATCCTTGTCCTCTCTGGTCCGGATGACATGGCGTCCCAGTGTTCCATAAAGAACTTCAAATCATGACTCATCTGACCACAGAACAGTCTGCCATTTTGCCACACTCCATTTAAAATGACCCCTGGTCCAGTGCAAACATCTGAGCTTGTGGAGCTTGCTTAGAAATGGCTTCCTCTTTGCACTGTAGAGTTTCAGCTGGCAACGGCGGATGGCACGGTGGATTGTGTTCACTGACAATGCTTTCTGGAAGTATTCCTGAGCCCATTCTGTTATTTCCTTGACAGTGGCATTCCTGTTTGAGGTGCAGTGACGTTTAAGGGCCCGGAGATCACGAGCATCCAGTAGAGTTTTACGGCCTTGACCCTTACGCACAGCGATTGTTCCAGATTCTCTGAATCTTTTGATGATGTTATGCACGGTTGATGATGATAACTTAAAAGTCTTCTATTTTACGCTGGGTAACACCATTCTGGTATTGCTGCACTATCTTTCTGTGCAACAATGGTGGAATTGGTGATTTTCTTACCATCTTGGCTTCTGAGAGACACTGACACTCTGAGAAGCTCTTTTTATACCCAATCATGTTGTCAATTGACCTAATTAGTGTTAATTGGTCTTCCAGTTCGTTATATTCTCAATTTCCTTTTTCCAGCCACTTATTGCTACTTGTCCCAACTTTTTTGGGATTTGTTGACACTGTGAAATTTTGAATCAACATATTTTTCCTTTAAAATGTTACATTTACTCAGATTAAACTTTTGATCTGTTATCTATGTTATATTATGAATAAAATATTGACATTTGCCATCTCCACATCATTGCATTCAGTTTTTATTCACAATTTGTTTAGTGTCCCAACTTTTTTGGAATCCGGTTTGTATTTAGCAATGAGTCACGTTATCGCTTGGATATGAACAAGTACGTTTTGCATCCAATAAAAACAAAAATGTTAACAAATAAACTGGACAATATCCTGGTAATTTAATATTTCCACAGATGTGGTCTTGACTGGTCTTGAAATAAAATCCCGAGTCCTCAATGTCTGAGACCGAGACAAGACCAAGACCAAATGTGGTTGAGTCTGAGACAAGACAGAGACCATCAAAAAGTGGTCTTGAGACCGGTCTGAAGACCAAGACCGGTCTCAAGTACTACAACACTAGTCCCAGCAGGTAACCTCTTTGTTAAAACCTGTATTATTCAGCTTTAGATTCCAGTAACAGAAAAGTCAAATCCTTGTGCCTTTCTGTTTGTCTAGAAGACCACAAATGTTTAGGGTGTTAGATTGAAACATCACAGTATGGTACGCAGGCTGTTCAGCTGCTGTGGAGAGCCTGCAGCAGTAAACCAACAGGACATAGAAAAGATTTGTCTGTCCCCTGCCCTCCACAGACATGCACACATAGACACTAGGTGGCGCTAGAGCACCTGTTAGTCTCTGGCAATGCAAATGCCCTTATTTATTTTGTGTTCAGTTTATGACCAATCGTGACATATCTGGATTAAGAAGTGTGCAATATAATACCTCTTCTCCTTCTTTAAGCTTTTCCCTCTTGTTTTCAGCTCGATTTATTTGTTGATCCGTTGAGTGTGAACTTACAACATGAACTACACTTATTGTTAAACAGGCCATACAATCAGAATGTTAAAATAAGAACACAATTTCACAAATTAGATTTAAGTATGCACTTGACAATGAAACAACCACATACAAGAAATATGTTGAACAGTCAGTTGAGTTAGGCCTAAAGATTTGATTTGCGTTTACCTAAAAGGGTTTAAATTAAAATGCAACAAATAAAAATGAAAATATAATTTGAAAAACCAACTGAAGTTAGTTATGGTATCATGTCTTTTGCAAGATAATAACCACTGTTAAATGTTTGAAATTAATTTTGTTTTTGTTTTTCAGCACTTGGGCAGGTTTTTCTTTCTTGTACATTTGAAATCTCTTACAAAATGATTTTTTTTTAAACAAACAGTAAATAAAATATTACTTTTAAACAGAAACTAACATTTAAAGTGATCAACTCCAAATCTAATATCAATGAAGAGTACCTCTTTTATAGCCATCAAGACTCGATCTACATCTTCCTAACTAAAAACACGTGGTATTATAATTTGGGAAGTGTTTGCTTTGGTGCAATCTTACAAAAAATAAAATAAAAATAAAGTTTTAATTTTCTTTGGTGTACAGAAACTCCATTATTTGTCCATAAGGGTCTAGTCTGAGAACTTCATAATGTGATAATAAAGATTGTCCCCTTCAAAAGTTGACGCTTGAAGCTAAAGGCCAGCTTTATGCTATTGTTGCATTTTAGAAAAAAGTATAGTTTTTCTCTTGAATATCATTCATGAAGAATGTTTCCTCTTCAACTGACCAATTGCATTTTGACCCCATCATCATCATCACTGCTACTTTGAAACAAAATCAAACACCAAAGACCGCTCACAGCTTTTTAACTCTTTTTTTTTTTTTAATTGTGCAATATATTTTTGCAGTTTTTTCTGCCTCACTTAAGTAAAAAGTTTAAAATTTGCATATCTGTACAAGTAAGCATACACTGTAAGAACTGCAAAGCATGATAATTACTAAAAAAAAAAAAAAAAAAAAAAAAAAAAAGATGGCAAACTGGCAAAGATGACACAAAGACCTCTGTCTCAAATGTTGCTGAACAGGCCACGATCCTGGAAGAATTTAGAGAAAAATTATAATTAGTTACATCATTTTCAAGCCATTTATTTACAACTAATTAAACCATACAATAAAAGCAGATCATTTTTTTTGTAAACTGTAGGGGCCAGAAACATTTTGTTTTAGTATTTATCTAAATATTTGGTCAAATAAAACATCAGCGTGTCATAAGTAGTAAAAGTTATGCTATTTGTAAAGTTGGTTCCATTCTTGTGTGACCTAAGTGTCAAAATGTTTAATTTCTCTTTCTTTATAAATGTCCTAATGGACAAAGTGTTCACACGCACACTGAGGTGGAAACAGTAAAAGCAAAATTACATCCACTTTTCTATTAAATGTCTTTTTGCATCAAGGTAGAAAACCATAAAATGTTATTGTGTTGTAATTTTCTTAATGCTTAACTGTAAAGTAAAAAAAATAAAAATACAGCCCACCACTGACCTCTGGTGTTGAAGGAGCAGCTCGCCTTTGATTACTGGATCAGAAACAGGAAGCAGATAATTAATGAATCTAATCATCCACAGCTGTCATGTCAAGCCTTTTAGTGATACTCACTTCTTTGGTGTTGGAAAAGGTGGTTTAGAGGAGTAAGAGGTACAATCTACAGGGTCAGAGTTCTTTCTAGGAACAGAAAAAATTATCCAACATCAGAATTTGTGTGTTAAAAATGTCTCTGAAAGAGAAAATTAAAACTTACAAATAGCCGACTCTGAGGTTAGCAGTGTTGTCCTGACGTCTGTAAGATAATAATCATTAATCTTGTGATGAGTTTGTTTTTTAAAGTAATGTTTTGTCATTATTTACTTGATAAAACTGAAAACAGTACCTTGAAAATCGGTTCCAGAATGACTTCCTGTTAAAGAATATTTTTATTATTGAACAGAAACCGAATCATTTGGCGTGGTTAAAGTCTAACTCAAACAGCAAATTAAATGCATCTACCTCTCATTGTGCCACTTGGCTCCATCTTCTTCTGCTCCTCTGTAAAAGGAAATGCTGTAAATAATAGGATTTATTGGAGGATTAAAAGAGAGAGTTGGCATCAAGAGTTTCTTACCGAGAAAAATGGCTCCAAATTGATCTCCTTCTTCTTCTTCTTCTAGTATTGTTTTATGGCGGTTGGCAGACCAACTGTAAGGTGCATTACCGCCACCTACTGAGCTGGAGTGTGGGCAGAAGATATACAGGAGAGAAAAAAAAAAAAAAAAAAAAAAAAAAAAAAA